AGGAGGAGCTCCGGAACAGCTCCGGGGCGCTAAGTTGTCAGCTGTTTAAACAGCATATGACAAGGCGAGAAATAACATGACGCCTACGTCACAATTGGTATTTTGGGGAGAAGGGGAGGATTTGTTACACACAGGCCTTTCGAGGATAGGCTATCCTCATCATGTATTTACTCTGTAGTAGTAGTGTTAATCATCCTTGGGCTGTTTGCACCACAGGTTACGATTCCGCGGGCTTTTGCTTATGCAGCTGACCACAGCAGCTGGAGAGCGGCTAATATTTCCATAATTTTTCGTAAAATCCAAAAATGCAATGATATACAGTATTGTCATTTGAAATAACAAAGTTGATGCTGGAGTAACGCAATCGGAGTGACTTGCTATTAGTTGTGTATTGACGGGTCCCTGCGATTTTTCAAAAAACAAATAGTTTTGTCGAGCCCTCGTATTCCATTCTTTTTGCCCACGCTGTATAGGCATGGTTCTCTATTGGGTTCTTTACAACAATCCTGAACTAGTTCAAAAGCTGTTCGGAATCAGTTCGTAATAGTTGTATTCCTTCAAGAGCTTGAAACACTCGAGCTACTCGCTCTGGTGCTTAGTCGCCCCGATTTGCAGAGAACAGCTGCGTGGTGCAACAAACAGTTTTCGAAAGGAATAAGCGCGTGAAGCCCCGGAGCTGTTCCGGAGCTTCTCCTAGGTGTGAAAGGAATACAACTATTGTGGTCGTTCACTTGCGGTGAGGATCGATGAATGGGAATTAGCATGTTCAGTTCAAATTATGTCCTTGGCAGATCACTAAATGTTTAGTTACAGATCTTTGCTCGCGGTTCAACTAGAATTGGCTCTAGATCGATTATCTGGAATGTAATCTGCGAACAAAGCTAAGATATTATAATTCTTTGTTTGAGGTTCAACTAGAATCGGTTCCAAATCGATTCTGAACTAGTTCTACTGGTTCTATGGCCTTTCCACCAAACTGATTCAGAACTATTCGTTGAATAAATATTTTCGTTTGCATACTTTCAGCTCAATGAGCAGTCCTATTGGGTGTGTTGTTGCGCATGGTCTCTACAACAATCCTGAATTAAATTGAAGAAGTAGTCCATCTCTGAATTCACAATTATTTCCATAACTGTTCGGAGTGTGTTTTGCGAGTAAAGCTAGAGCATAATTTGCGGTCAAGACAAGAATCGTAAACTAACAGGATTCCTCATCCTCATGAGGCGTATGTTCGCCAATTCTCGTCGACAGGGCCTGCGAGTAACGTCACTACTTTTCGCAGATCTGTTTCTGCAGAAATCACAAACCAGTCAGCGTGAATTTCATTGGTTGAAACTAGTTTCCTGGCTGTTTTAAACCAATGAAATTCGCTCTGACTGATTTGTGATTTCTGCAGAAACAGACCTATTACCTAAGTTGAGTTCGGAATGGGATTTTAGTTCAGTGCTAGTGCGGTGTTCCTGTAGTGCAGAGTTATATTACGTGATGAAGGTGTAATCGGCGGTGTAACACCGAATACACCTTCAATATGTACCGAGTAAAGTCTAGTACTCATAACTGCGAAATTCGCTCTTTTTTGACATTGCTTTGACAATTTGACGTTTGATTCGCGCATAAAATGTCAAATTGTCAAAGCAATGTCAAAAAAGTGCGAATTTCGCAGTTATGAGTACAATAAGGCTTAAGGAAGGATTTTCATGCATCCGTTTTTCCGTCGAAATATGTCCGTTTAACATTCTATTTTGACATATTTATATACGATTATGTCAGAATAGAATGTTAAACGGATGTATTTCGACGGAAAAACGGATGCATGAAAATCCACCCTAAAGCCTAGTACTCATAACTGCGGAATTCGCATTTTTTTGACATTGCGTTGATAATTTGACGTTTTATTCGTGTATCAAACGTCAAATTGTCGAAGCAATGTCAAAAAAATGCGAATTTCGCAGTTATGAGTACTAGGCTTAAGGCCCGAGTCTTATGCATTCGTTTTCCGACGAAAAATGTCCGAAAATTTTTCTATTTTGACATATTTTCATACGATTATGTCAGAATAGAAGGTTTTTCGGACATCTTTCGTTGGAAAACAGATGCATGAGACTCCGGCTAAGGGCGGGTATTATAAAACTACTTTGAGAGTTAACTTAAAGTTAACTTCTGGAATTACATGTAATTCAAAAAGTTAACTTTAAGTTAACTGTCAGAGCAGTTTTATAATACCCACCCTTAAACGGTGTCCCACCATCTTCACACCATTTGGACACCAAATTATTGCCAAACGCAAATAAAGTGTACACCAAACCATCCTACCAATTAACTAACGCCACAGTGTCAATTGATGTAAAAAGTGCCGACACTTTCTACCATTCCGAACTCACCTCTATTAGCATAGCAGCTTATACTCGTGACGTCACTCGCAGGCCTTGATTGGATGGTTGCGATTCAGATTATTGCGCTTTGTTTTTTGTCGATTTTAAGACCTGAAATGGCAGACATTTGCAGCTCAATAAGCAGTCCTATTAGGTAGTGTTCTTGGTTTGCGGTAAGGATTCATGAACATTTGAGAACTATTTGCAAATTATGCCCGGCTTTACAATCCAAGAACTCGACCGGTACTTGTTCTACAGCATTCTTGAATTAGCTCCAAACTGATTCAGAATCGGTTCGAATTGTGATGTGGTTCCGAATCGATTCAGTACTACCCCATTTCCAACAGTATTTTGGCAACTATATCTATGCTTAGTTCAAATTATGTCGTCAATGGATCACTATGTTTCTTTTGAGTTAGTTTTCTGTTCACGGTTCAACTAGAATTGGTTCTGGAATATCTATGCAGTTCTGGATCGATTCTGAACTAGTTCTACCGGCTCTAAGGATTTAAGAAAGCCTATTAGTTGTATTCCCTTCACACCTAGGAGGAGCTCCGGAACAGCTCCGGGGCTTCACGCGCTCCTTTCGAAAAGTGTTTGTCGTACCACGCATCTGTTCCCTGCAAGTCGGGGGCTACTAAACACCGGAGCGAGTAGCTCGAGTGTTTCAAACTCTTGAAAGGAATACAACTATTATGTACCGGTTGGACAGTAAGTAACATGTCAGCGAGCAACAGAAAAGGATAACATTCCCCCTTGTGGCATCCGTCTTTAATGGCTTCATTTTTTTAGCGGATGTGGCAATGTGCACGATTGGTGCACGCATTCCAGTTTTTGGTTATAGTTCATTGATTCCAACCGTCATGAGAACCCTTGTAGAACGGTAATTTGAGGCGTTTTCTCGCGGGACGAATGGTTCGAACTACGGTTTAAACCAATTTCTAGATGACGTCACCATTTGTGAACGCGAGAAAATGGAAGGTTTGAACCACAGTCTTATGTCAACGGAGAACAAGCCATGAGTCCGGTTCGAACTTTTTTGAATCAGGTTCAATGTGATGTCACTGGTTCAACGCAAGAATGTACAGGTTCGAACCTAATCGAACCAGTTCCACCGCGAAAAAACAGCTTTGGTTTCGGCTATTCAGCGCGGAGTTGGAGTGGAGTGAACAGAGCTAATGGAGTCACCCCTAATACGGTAAAAAGCAATACCCGAACCTTAGCCCGAACGGCTGGAGGGCGAATGGAGTCACTCGGAGTGCACGGAGTGAGCAAGCCGAACCCACCTCTGCTAGTGAAGCCAAGTTTTTGGCACCAAAATACAGGGGCGAGTTTAGAAATGACACACCCAGTGTGAAGGTCGACTAACACCGGAGCGAGTAGCTCTAGTGTTTCAAGCTCTTGAAAGGAATACAACTATTGAATTGCCCCGTTTTGCACTCGAACGCTTGAAGCCGAACCGGTCAAACTGTAACCGGAGTACTTCGGAGTAACTCGGGAGCGCTCAAAAGGTGGCACCCGAAAGCAGCTCATGTTACTACTCTTTTACCTTTACCTGCTCTAAGGTTCATCTCAGTGGAAAATAGGTGGGCAACTGGAAATTACTGGTTTTGGAACGGTTCTCATGTCTGCTAGAACTTGGAACAGAACCTAAAAGTATACGACTGGTACCTTAAAATTCCCATTCAATTTCTGCATTGCTGCAGAATTATAATTACCAAGTGATATTTAAGTTCAAGTAGAGTTCTACTGAATCAGTATTTGAACTTGGACTGTCTAGCGGGAGCGGGCCTTCGAGACAAGCATGCGCTCTACGGTAATCCTGAATTAGTTCCAAACCTGTTCGGAATTAGATCCGTGAACAAACCTATTTAACAAACAATTAAGCGGTGGATTCTGATCTGAGTGGGAATACTTTTTGGCTACAGTTCTTGGTTCAATCAGAATTGGTTTCCAATCGATTATTTACTAGTTCTATCGGTTTTTAGGGAGTTTAACAAATACAGAACAATCTGGAACAGTTCCGGTTGGAACAGTTTAAATTAAATGTGGCAACATTGTAATATTGACTTTTGTCCCTGACATTTTTTGAATTGACAGTTGACAAACTGCTCACAAAATGTCGGAATGTCGGCTTAGCAAAATAATCAAATAAAAATATAAACAGTTAATAATTTTTATGTGATTTATTTATAAATTCTGTGTTATATGTGACGGACACAAGTTGCTTAAAGCATATCACTCAGGTAATTTTGAGCTAGCTAATCTTTGCTTTTAGTACCTAAATAAAGCTAATAATAGTCTTGTTACAATTGAAATAACACAAGAGTCTTTCTAGTCGAGGCAACGAATCTTAGATCTTCTAAACTAAGTACGAACGTAGAATAATGGATACTCCTTCGACCAGTGTAAGCGGAGCCATTGGGAGATCAACCAAAAAAAAGAAAGTGCCCGATAGGAAGAAAACCGGCACTACTGATAGTAGGGACTTTGCTCGCACACCTCCTATCTTGATCAAAGTGAATAGCTGGATGAGCACCATAGAAGTAGACTGCAACAGAAGCAGCCCAGATTTTCCTGGATTCGACAACGAAAATGATCCTCCTTACAACTTAATTTCAAATACCTATTTCCTAAAGGACAAAGACGAACTGGAACAGTATTACACCATCTCGGATTCTATTTCTGAAATCTCGGTAAAAATAAATAAAAGTTTCATGGACTTGAGTCCTGGAACAAGGCGACGCAAATTTTCTAATATAATCGAACAGGACCTCGACAATTGCGACATTGTATTGCCAAGTCCTGAAAATGAGAATAAAAAGGAGTTTTGCAAGTATTTGCAACTAATGAAGCCTACTGATAAGAAAAAAAGCGTTATTATTGTACAAAATAGACATTCGAAGAGAATTAAGAATTTGTCCCAGCAGGAGCTGGAGAAAAAATCAAGAACATTGATTTCTGATCAAGAAAATGATTCAATTAATAAATCTGAAGAGAAATTACTAGAGCATAAAGCCCCTCCTAAACCGCCTGACAAAATTGATGTTATTGATTTTGATGGAATTGCAGAAGAAAATTGGTTCAAAGAGTTGGCAAATAGAAAACCAAAGAGAACTGCAGTAAAACGGAAATCAAATGTTTCTGTAGAAGATTTAATGTCAGCTGAATTCTCAGAGGCAGAAAAGGAAACAAATATTCCAGCTAGAACAGAAGAAGAACTATTTGATTCAAATAATAATAGAAGTAAATCTAGAGGACCTGCAATTAAAAGAAATTCAGTTGATGCATTAATAGATTCCGTTATTAAAAGTAAATCTAATAGGAGGGCCAAGAGTAATAAAAGGCTTAATGGTGCTCAGATTAAAAATGGTTTAAATGGAAAAGCCAAAGAAATTGAAGAAAATGATTTAATCAACATTAAAACTCGGTCCATGGAGCCTATAATCAATAACAATGAAATTAAGGATTTAACACAAACTGCTAAGACAAATGATCAGGCTTTGATTAATGAACCAGCAAAAGTAGGAAAGAGAAAGGCAAACAATTCAAAACAAGCGTCTAAGGTGAAAGGTCCAGGCTTCAAAATAAGACTTTCTTCTGCCAAAAGAGGAAGAAACACTAATTCCAATACTTCAACAAAATCTGCCCCTAAACCCAGGCAAGCAAAAAGAAAGAAGAATAATTCAGCAATAAATGAGAAAGATTTTGACATTGCAACCAATGCTATACAAGAACACATAAACTTGTTAAAAAAACCAGAAAATCCTGCGGAAATATATTTGTCGGAAAGCAGTTGTTCTGAGGTTGAACCTGAAACTTCATTTGGATCACAATTGAAAAACTGGCCTAGAAAAAACTCAAACTTAACAATAAAAAAGATTTGTATTCACGAATCTGATCCGCCTTCAACGGCAAATAAATCTTTGGAGAGGCACGACAGCGCTATACAAACAGACCCGGAAGTACAACATGAATTTCACTCACAAATTCTCAACATTCAAAAAACTTCTGATGAAGACTCGGAAGAAGAATTATCTGAAAAGTCAAGTTCACCTCCAGCATCTGACCAGTTTACTGATTACGCCAAACAGCAAACAGAAGACGCGAAATGGATCAACACTAAAAAGCAACTGGAAAATCAAAATTCAATCACTGTAAATACGGGGCAAGGTCCAATATTGAAGATTTTTTATGTGGATTTTGATTTGGTACTTTGTCAGGAGTTGTTGGTGTCGTTTTGGTATCAGTCAGCACCTGGAAACGTTTTAGGTACGTTATTTTCTTGGTTTCTTCATATATTTAATAAAGGGGCAAATAATTATTCAAAGTTAATTTTTTCCTCGATATTTTCCAAAATTTCTGTAGTTGTTGTACATTACACACGTACTACGGAGTAGAAAAACAATCATTCTGAATCAGAACACGATTGAATTTGAAAATTTCTAGCAGTTAAAATATTTATTATAATTGTGTATAATTCAGGCGCTCAGGATATGTGGACGAGCAAAGGCAGCATCCAAAGACAACCCATGCCCAACAATTGCACCCTCAAAGAATCCTTGGAAATGGTCGCCTGCAGCTATTTCAGTTTGGCGTACATCGAACTGTGGACCAAAGAGCACGAGAACTATCAGCAAGAAGTTCCCGTCACAAATGTTTACGCTGTAGTCTATTTTTGGATGAAACAATATAACGGATCGGTGAAAAAGGTGTTGCAACTTGGAAATATTAATGGGTATGTTAATTTTGGGCATCTAATTTTGGATATTTAACTAAAAAAACATTTTTAGATTTGCAGATGATATTCAATATTCCATTGTCAAATCTTCACCGAAAATCGTGGTGAGCTGGCATTTTACTGGAAACGAAATGAATAGGAAAAAAACCTATGTTTACTGTTATCAAGTGGCGTCAGATTTTCAATCTATATGCAATGTTGATAATTTTGAAGCCGTGGATCATTATGTTTCGTCACTGCACAATATTGAAGGTAATAATTGAAATATATCTTTATAAAATAGGTTGGTACACTAAATATACACAAAAAATACAATATAAGAAAAAATGCCCATTAGACATACAAACAACTATTTACAAAATGCAGGTAAAACTCTTAAGAAAATAGCAGGCACATTAGTCTGGTTCATCTAATCACGTCAAGATGGTAAATGCAATAGTATGTCTACTGTTAGAGCCACGAGTTATAAAGCATAGTGTAGGCCTTATGATTTAGATTTTGGAAAACTTTGAAAGGTCATAACTTTTTTCTATTATAGATAGAAAGCTGAAACTTTCACTAAATTTTATCCCAATCAAGGGACTACAATCCCTGAAAATTTCAGCTCATTTGCACTTATAGTTCCTGAGATAAAATCGTGTTAAGCAATTTGGGGTGATGCATCAATTTTTCTGTGTGCTTTTTTTCATAGATTTCGGCTTCAAATCTGAGAATAATTCAGTGTATGGAGTTTGGGGTATGTTGATTGACCATTAGGATACAAAATCTTGACAAAAAAAATTTGAAATTTCATCGTTTAAGTAAGAAGGTACCCACCTTATGATTTAGATTTTGGAAAATTTTGAAAGGATATTAGAGGATACAAAATCTTGACAAAAAAAATTGAAATTTCATAGTTTTAGTAAGAAGGTACATCTCAATGTAACAAATGGGTACCGAGATACACAAGCTCAAAGATTTCAAGAAAAGAATTCAAAAAGTTAGAAAAAGTGAGTAAATTTTTATGTTCCACTTTTTCTTGATTTTCACTATCGATAAAACAGGTTGAAATTAGCCGGAAACAACTTTAATATCAATCCTATTGTTTATTCAACAGAGACAAAATTTCCAAAAGAAAACTCAAGTTTGAATATGGGGGAATTTTTGGAAATCCTGACATGGTTATGAAAAATTGCTAATATTGTCAATTATTTCAAAACAAATAGACCTAAACGATATATCGTTTGAAAGGGCATTAAAATTTCTATACATTCAATACATTGAACTAAATTTGATATCAATGGTTCTCAGTAAGCGTTTTCGGAAACACTTATCCGATTAACCGGATCACCAGCTGCTATCCTTTGCCTTTTTCCAATCGTATTCATTAAAGAAAGATAAAAGACAACCAGCTGATGATCGGATTAATCGGATCAGTATTTCCGAGAAGGCCTACTGTTATTCAGTTTTTGAGCTTTGAAGTTGAGTTTTAGCTGAAATTTGCTCGAAAACTTCAAACTCGATTTTTTCAAAAACAATTAATGTTACAATGTCAATTATATTAATCTTTTTTGAAATTGAACTTTAGCTCTAATCCCTGAAAATTTCATCTCAATATTTCATATAGGCCTCGAGATATAGAGGCTCGAAAATTTGAAGATAAAAATCAAAGAGCTAGGATACCCCGAAGGGGTAGTCAGTGTGAAAATCTTCTGTCCTATAAGATAGAAATCTCATGGAGTTCCGTGGAGATCGGATGGAGTACTAGAGATACGTAGAGATCCAAGAACTGGCTGCAGTCGTGTAGAATCGCACATCATTTCAACTGTGTGTTATATTCAAACTATTAAAAAAAAAGTTTTTGTAGGAGGGAGAATGAAAACATTAATTTCATGTTCAGATGTTGTTTCTTCAGAGGTAATACTGAGTTTACGATACAGTCCTTTGACAGTAATAATCTATTTTCTGTCATGTGACATAATCTACTTACTATTAGCATTACATACCATTCATTCATAATAGTCGACTTACTTTCTCTAAAAAGGTGAAATGATTTACTTTAAATTATTAATATCAAACTACCACTTTCTGACAGCAAAAACGCGTTGATTCCATATGAAATTTAAAAGTTACTAATGTATGTATATGAAGGTCCAGAGGAGATACACGAAAATCAGTGGAAATCCATGGAGATCTAATGATATGCCTAGAGATCCCTAGAGGATATCCATAGAGATTTATATAGTAACAAGAACGTGTTCTAAAATGGATTTTTTTTCCAATTTTTCTCAATTTTCCTTCTTTTAACGGAATCTCACGAAATCCTACTGGAATTCTACAAAATTTCACTAGAGTTCCACTGAAAATGAATGAAATTTTGGATTAATGAGTAGAAAGTACATTTCATGAGTAAAGATAAAATCTGCAAAAATCACTTATGCAAAATACTTCTAATGATCACATTGACTTGAAACTTACAGGTTTTATAAATTGAAATTTCCTCTTTATGGAAAAGTCAATTTGAAGATGATTTTAAGCTTTAAACTAGATTTGGAAGCTTTTTCTTACGTTAATGTATGCAAAATCGATTAAAATCTGCAAAAATCACTTGTGCAAAGTACTTCTAATGAAACCTATGCAAAGTTGGCACCCGAAAATCAAGCACACCTGATTTTCTCAGGAGTTCTGAGTACTTTTAGGATAGTTCTAGAGTTCTGAGAGGGGTGCAACAATAGTTCTCATGCCTAAGTATTTTTTTTTTTAAAAACAAAAAAAGGGGTGCTAACTTCGCGCCGCACCCCTTTTTGATAGTGCAACAGTTCTCGAGTGATTTTTCGGTTCTAAGGGTATAGTTCTAGAGTATTTGAAGGCTCGTTGAGATGTATGGAGGCTGCTGGGGTCAGAACTATGGGTTAGCACTCCATAGTTCTGGTGTCTACTATTACTCTACTATGGATAAATTTCAAAATTAACTGGGGTGCTGTGAAATACACCGCGTTTCCACGCGCATCCACGCTAAATTGGCATACTGGAGGCTGCTGGGGCCAGAACTACGTGTTATTTCTGCAGCACTCCATAGTTTAGCAGCACTTCATGCGTATTTTTAATTTCAGAATGTCATATTGCAGATATTACTTACCTTTTTCTTAGCCTCACCTTTCTTATTGTATGATCTGTCCATACGTTTACCATGTTTGATTAGAAAAAATCTGATGTTCGGTAGTTCTCGTTTCTTCCATAGTATCTCAGTCAAAAATTGAGGAATAATATGGATTATAATATTCCATCATAAATTAGATATCATAGACTATTTAATTCATTAATTCCATGTAGGTTATATAGTACAAAATCGTACAGTTCGAACAATCAACTGGACAGGTGATTGTTGGGAAATCTGTTTGTAAAGGAACATTAATAAGTCATACGTTTTTTTACAGTTTTTTTAATAAATACTGAGATAGAAATACATCGCTTCAAATCCATTTTTCAGAACTTTTCTAGGTACAAATTTTCTAGATACAAATTTTCTAGGTACAAAGTTTTCATGTGCAAATTTCTACATTATTCTGCCATTCATGAATTACGTGACGCTATAAAAAGTGGCGAATGCTATTTAAAATAGGTGAAAAAAAGATAGGAAAAGCGTCATGTAATGTATAAACGGTTTTTTAGTGGACGTCAGTTTGGTCCTAAATTTTTAACTAATATTCTGTATTTTAGGTTATGTTACACATCGCTATTTTGAGTGAGTATGCTTCTCTGGGTTTTCGTAGCCAGTTCACAGTGCTTACTGTTATTTATCAAGGTTTCTGTCCTTTCTGGGACCCTCATCAGCATTTTTCGCATGAAAAGCAGTTACAACTGTGAATTGGTTACAAGTGACCAAGAAAGGCAAACTCATTCCGTTTCAGAAAACCTTATGACCTAGGAAGTCCCCGTTGGGAAAAGCGTCATTAAATTTTATCAAATGACTTAATACAAACAACGTATGGGACCGCTTATGAAAATTTGAGTTATAACAAAGAATATTATAGACTAACCGTCTCTAGAAGTCTCGTCCGTATTCTAAAATTTGAGACCTCGATGGACGCCGGCTTTAGCCGGGGTGGACGCTGGTTAGAGTTTATTGCCCACTGTTGCCGAGTTGTCGCTGTTGTAGGTGCTAGGTGCTTTTGGTTCAGCGGCGATAAGCCGGCGTCCGTGGGGAGATGGACGCCAGACGCGTGCCAAGAGGAATTCGGAAGTTCACAATATGTTTATTTTTAATTAAGCGTCTAGGCGATCAATCCGATTCGGTGGCAGCTGTATAAATTTGAAAACACTTATTTTAAAAATGTCTGGAAATATTTGCCAATATTACAATTGCGGTGTTAGCCGACGTAATTCTCAACGGCGATTATTTAGATTTCCATTTAAAAATGAAGATCTGTGTAAACAGTGGATTATTAATTGCGGTAAGTTAGGTATTCTTTTGTATATTGAAATTTTCATATCCCATTTTTTTGCGGAAGAATTAACAATCATTTGACCGGTGGTTGGTTAAAGGGCCTCTTTTAAATATTACCCTAGATTTACGAAAAAAATCAGATGTTTATACAGGATGTCAGAAAATTACCTGGCAGGACTTTATTTGAAAGGGGATTCTATAACCAAAAATCTCCCTGATGGGAGACGACCATAAAGAGGTCGTTAAAAATATGCATGAATGAATATTTTATAATAAAACATGCCATTAAAAAAAAAAACACAGGCTCTACTATAAGGGTTTTTAGAGTTTGAAAAAGAAAAACTATTGTTATATATTTTTTTTTGTTTTAAGGAAATCCTTCACTCGCTGGACTAGCTCCTGAAGATATTCGAAATAAATACCTGTGCGAGAATCATTTTACAGACGAAGATTATAGGACTGAAAAAAAATTTTACTTAAAAAAAGATGCAGTTCCAAAAGTCTATGAAGCTTTAAAGGTTTTAACGCCAAAACGAACTTACCAAAATAGACATATACTTCCACTTTGTAGTCCTGAAATGTCAGATTCAAATTCTCAAAAAAAAAAACGACCTAAAGAAAATCTAGATAACTCTTTTGCAAATGAACTTTCAGATTTACCAGATGCACAATATACTCCTCGTAAAATTGCATTAAAACAAAAACTCAGATGTAACGTTTCAAAACTAAAGAATTATAAATGCCGTCTAAAAGAATTGTCTCAAAAAGTTAAAAACGCCAGAAATTTTAAATCTAATCTTATGCCTGCTATTACTGTTTTATCTAG